AAATCACCATCTGCCCACTGGGGAGCGCAGGGGTTTTAGACTTACTCAGATGGAGCAGGGCTGAGCTGGGACCCCCAGTAAGCTTCTCTCCCACACACATGTTCTTCCTGCCCGCGGCTACCAGCGTCCCTGCAGCACAAGGACTGGCTGCACAGGGTGTGTTCCTGACTTTTGAGGCTCCCAAAGTCAAGGAGGAGGGGCTGGGCAGGAAGGGGGCAGGTGTAACCAAGGGAGGCCAAATAAGAACATCCCAAGTTGGCTTCCAAGGTGGTTGTTTACTTGTGGCATTCAGGAAAGGCTGAGCTGGGAACTGGCTTGTTTACTTTCCACACTTTTCCTCCAAATCGTTTTCATAGAGTCCTCCGGAACCCCAGTGATAAATTTCCCAGAGCCCAGAGAAACCCACAGTCCCTCAGCACACAGCCATCTTTATTAGGAGGCCAGGGCAGGGCAGTAGGGGGGAGATTGGAATAGGAGGCCTGAAGTTACTGGTGGTCAGAGGAGGCCTGCCTCCTCCCTTCACACTGGCCAGGCCCTAGGAGCAACTGGCCAGATTTGGGGCAATGGAGACAGGAGGCTGAAGTGTGTCCACCCTCAAGCACAAAGCTAACTGTCTAGGCCTGCCCACACCCAGCTGTGGAATCCACATGCCCCGGCTGAGACTAGCAGCATTCTATCATCTCTTTAGGCCTCAGAGAAGAAAAGGTGGAAAGTATCACTTCTGTTTAAGGAATGAAAAGGAGAACTGTTCCCTCTCCAGCTGCTTGACTTCTCCAAAGCCAGAGACCTCTCTGAGTGTCCCCACACAGCACCTCCTGCTCTACCATTTCTCAGCAGAGACACTCACAGCCCCTCCCTGGACTTCACCCATCACCTGACACTGGTCCCAAGATCTCCCACGTGTACTGCCTGTGTGTCAGGGACTGAGGCAGAGCCGGTGGTACGAAGCCCCTGCCCTGCAAGTGGACTGGCATATCCTCACACCTAGTTTCTTAACTTCCATCCGGCCAGCACACCCATTCTACAATGGAGAGGGAGAGGGCTCTGGTATCTTTGCAACTTAGCCCTGCAAAGGCTCTGGAACCTTGGGCTTCCTGTGGAAGTGGGCAGCGACCAGCAGGGCAATACTCATCCAGTGCCCCTTACTTCCTTTTAGAGGTGCCAGCCTTTCCCCTGCTATGACTATGGGTTAGCAGCTCTTGGGGCAGAGATGGGGGTGGGTGGAGCAGAGAGGACCTTGCCCCAGCAGGGTGGATACTCCTTGGAGGACTGGAGGTGGTCCTGGCATGGTGGCTCATGCTGTAATCCCAGCACTTTGGGAGGCTGAGGTGGGAAGCCACCTGAGACTAAGAGTTGGAGAACAGGCTGGGCAATATATCAAAATCCCTATCCCTAAAACAATTTAAAAAACATTAGCTGGGCATGGTGAGACCCGCCTGAAGTCCAGCTACTCAGGAGCCCAGGAGTTCAAGGCTGCAGTGAGCCATGATGGTACCACTGCACTCCCGCCAGGGTAAAAGAATGAGATCCTCTCTCTTAAAACAAAAACGAACAATTAACAAACAAACAAACAAACAAACACCTAGACTAAACGATAGGGGTATCCTGAAGGCAGAACAGCTACAGCTCCCTGGCTTCAGAAGCTTGGCCATGAACAGCACCTCTCCAGGCCCCATCTCTTCATCTATCAAAGTGGGCACCCCAACTCCACCCTATCTGTCTCTTAATGTGGACTAGACAACACTAAGGTCCAGCTCTCCAGAGCACATGATGGGGGTGGGATGACCCATTTTTGTTGTTTTTTGGCTCTTTTTTTTTGAGACAGAGTCTCACCTTATTGCCGTGGTGTCACACAGCTCACAGCAACCTCCAACTCCTGGGCTTAGGCGATTCTCTTGCCTCAGCTCCTAAGCAGCTGGGACCACAGGCGTCTGCCACAACGCCCAGCTATTTTTTTCAGTTTGACCGGGGCTAGGTTTGAACCCATCACCCTCGGTATATGGGGCCAGTGCCTGACCAGCTGAGCCACAGGTACCACCCCATGGTGTTTTTTTTTGAGACAGAGTCACCTTGGGTGGAGGGCTGTGGCGTTACAGCTCACAGCACCCTCAAACTCTTGGGCTCAAGCGGTTCTCTTGCTTCAGCCTCCCAAGTAGCTGGGACTACTGGTGCCCACCACAACGCCTAGCTATTTTTGTTGTTATTGCAGTTGTCATTGTTGTTTTAGCTGGCCTGGGCCGGGTTTGAATCCGAAGCCTCAGTATATGTGGCCAGTGCCCTTACTCACTGAGCCTTAGGCACCACCCAGAGGGATGACCCTTTATATTTACCAGTTAAGTGGCAAGGGGAAGTGACGGGGAGGAGGGCGGATTTCCCCTGGTAATATATTAATGTACGGAAGGCCAAAAAGGAAAAGGAATACAGTAATTCATTTAAGGATATTTCCATTTACCTGGCAATTTCTTCTCTACACAAGATATGGCTATAATTGGCAGCTTTATCTCCAGGTCTCAGATAAGCAGCAAATCATTTCTCACTGGAGTTACTGCACCTCTCTCCCTGAATTCACTCCCGAACCTTTCACTGTTTCCTGACTCCAGATCCACATAGAAGGCTCCCACAGCCTGGTACCACCCAGCCTTTGATTCCCATGGCCTATGGTATAACCCAGCTCAGGGGAGTGTGTGGAAAAAGAATAATGCAGTCAGAGCCCCCAGGACCATGTTAGTAAACGGAATCAGTGTTGTTTCCTTGTTGCCATGGAGAACCAGTAGGGACCTTACAGACAGCCTGGCATAGTGGAGAGAGCATGGGTTCTGGAGTCAGACAATCTAGGTTCAAATTCTGGCTTTATTTCTCACCATCTATGTGACCTTAAAAAAGTCACCTAACTTTCCTGATCCTCAGTTTCCTGATCTGTAAAATGGAGATGAAATAGTAATCTCACCAGGATGTAATGGCTTAAAGAGATTGTGTATGTAGGGGTCCTGATTCACAGAAGGCATAAGGAAGGGGGAGAGGACCTATGGGGAAGGGACTGGATGTAGTGTTTCACCTGAAATTGGGGGTGGCCATGCCTAGATCACCCCTTCTCTGACCTAGGGCCACAGTCCTTGCCTTTGCTAACTTCAGCATTTAAAAGTCTGAAATGCACACTGAACCTAGTCAGAGCTCTTCACAAGGGGGAATGAGTGGAGAATGCCCAGGAGGCCCCCATGTCTCTGTGTGCTCCCAATCATGAGACTACTGGCAATCAAGTTTTAGGCACATGGGTGTTTCTGCTCCTCTGGGAAATGCACACCAACTGGTGCGGAAGAATCCCTACCAATACTCAGTTCAGGCACTGTGACTACCCCTCCACCTGCTGCCACCAGAGAGCCAGTCTGCTGGCAGACACTGCTCCTAGACCCTTCATGAGACCCATCTCTAGCCAGGCCAGAAGGAGCCAGGAACAAAAGCAGACACCCCGCAACCCCACATGCTCCCACGTCCCCTCTACTCTCAGTGCTTGCCCCCCAGCCTGGCCCATCTCTTTTTCCACTTACCGACCTCTCCCTCTTGCAATCAGGGGATGGGAGGGCTAATGGAACTAACTCCTCTCTGCTACAGTTTAAAGTTATTTTTGAACTGAGACCCCACTGAATCTGCCAAACAGCACACCATCTACCAAACCCACACCATTCCCAGCTTGGACAGATACAGAAATGGAACTTTTCCTGCTGCCCCCTTAGGGGGACAGAAGACAGAGGCAGATGACACGGCTTAAGTTCCCAGTGCCCAGGCACACAGTGGAACATGCTGTTTGGGCCACTTACCCAAACAGATCAGGTAGGGCTCCCTGTAGCTACTCGGGGTCTCTTCTGTGGGAAGACCAACCCCACTGAGGCCCACTGGGCTTGGCTCTTAGTGAGTCCATAATAAATATTAATTATTGGTCACACTATTCATTACACAACTACTTATGGAGTACTCACTGTGCCCGGTGCTATGCTAGGTCCCAGAAAATCCCTGGTGCACCTAGGGCCCCAGGACACCAAACATCAGAAACCAAACACAACTTCAGAAGCTAGTAAAATAAATAAGGCTTTGGGAATGCCATGGTTTCTCCCTGACCTTTGAGGCTTAAAATTCCCCCATCTTCTCTTATACATGCACACCCCACGCTGCAAAGGCTGGAATCGCCTCACAAGGTCTCCCTGGAAGTCCCTCTGAGGAAGCACATCCGCTGGGGGGAGGGTCTCTGCTTCTCCCAAAGACCCTGTCACCGGCACCACCCCGCTGTCCAGCAAGACACGGACCTGCCAGCCTTCTCCACTCTGTTCCCAGACCCCAGAGCGCCGGGTCTGAGTTTATGAATCACTCCCTCCTCCCCTGCCTCGCCTCCGGAAGGGCAGCACACACCCAGACACATCACCCAGACACCGAGTTTCCACCCCAAATCCGCCCTGCTTGCTGAACCCCGAGAACTGACTGCAGTGTCTGCTTTCCTCCTCCCCGCTCCTCGGGTTCGGGGTCCCGGCCACGACTTTCCAAAGAACAGGAAACCCTTCCCCTCCCGCTGCCCTGAGGCAGGAGTGTTCTCCTCTCTGGGGGGCTGCGGGGACAGCAGACAAAGACAAGCGATTTATGTGAGGGGCATAGCGACGTGCCTGGTTTAAAGGCCAAAACCCCCGCGCTGCCAGGAATGTGCGTTTCGCTCTGCGGCTTGCGCCCTGCGGCTTGAGGTGTGGCGCGTGCTCAGATCCGTACGCGCGGTGTGTCTGGGGCTCGAGCGGTGACGAGCGATGTGTGTGTGGCAGGTGTGAATCTGGGTGCGGCGGGTTGTGAGTGTCGCCGTGGGGTTTTCCCCGAGACTGAACTCCCTCTCCCATCCTCCGCTTAGCCCCCTTCTTCCCCTGAAGTTTGGCGCGCGCGCCGGGACGCGGAAGGCGAGGGGCGCACGGCCGGGCGGCCTCCCCCAGGCCTGGGAGGCGGTTCCGGGACGCCAGCGCCCCACTTACCCCGGCCGCCGAGCCTCCTCCGGCGCAGGCGGATCTGCCCCTCCGTGGCTGGGGTCGGGCGCGGGCAGCATCCGCTTGCAACTTCGTCCTTGTCTCGGAAGATCCCGGCAAAAGCGACCCCCGCTCCTGCGCGGCCTGGGCTCTGCGCCCTCGCCGGGGGCGGCAGCGGGGAGGGAGGGAGGGAGGCGCGGCCCGGCCGGTCGACACGCGGGGCTGGAAGCGGCGCCAGACGGGCGCCGTCCTGCCTGCGCAGCGAGCGAGCGAGCGAGCGGTCCTGCCTGGCGCCCTCCCTCTCCGGCCCGAGCCTGAGAGCCGCCCGCGACTGTGGCGGCAGCGGCAGCGGATTCCTGAATCGCGTCCAAGGCGCCCGGGGAGCCCTCCTCTTCCTCCTCCTCCTCCTCTTCCTCACCCCACCCAACTCCCACCACTGCGCGCCCGGCAACTTAGGAACAGTTGGCGAAGTTGGCGCTGCTCAAGCTGCGCGCCGGCCGGGCCTCTGGGGGAGGAAGGGGAGGAGGAGGAGCCGAGGGGGAGGGGACCGGGACCCGCCCCCGGGGAGCCGCTCTCTCCAGGACCCCTCTGTAGGCCTTTGTTCCGGGCGCTGCACCTCGGCCCGCCAGTCCTCTGGGACTCGCTTGGGGTCGCTGGGATCCCCACCCGCTCCCAGCAAGGCCAGGAGGAGCTCCCATCCTCAGGGAGGGGAAGGAGGCCGCGCCGTGATCCCCGCGGCTTCACCCCTCCAGAGACCCCAGGCCGTCAGCGAACCCCCACCCCACTGGCCTGGGAGAACCCTCTGGGAGCGCAGGTTTCCGTTATCGTGGCCTCGGGGAGGATCTTCCTGCCCTGCCTTAGGGCAAGGGCACTAAATGCCTGGCCCCTTAGTTTCCAAAGAGCACAGCACCCTCTCCCCGGGTGGCAACAGGTCACCCTTCTGCCTTCTGCGCTTTCTTCTGCGGCCAGGCAGTCCAGGGATCCCGGAATGCAGGACCTGGGAAGCAGGAGGAAGTATGGTTCTCTCCGGGCAGCCAGAGCCTCTTGGCATTATCTTCGGACCATCCTAGAGAGATGGCGTCTCTGGCTAGGGGGTGGGGCAGTGGCCCACTGGGCAGCGCTGGCTCTGGGGTGATGATAGCTTCGCGAGGTAAAGGGCTCAGAACCAGAACCCAGACCGAACCTCCCAGTTGTTTGTCCAAATCCTGGTGATGGCCAAGCCTCTGAAAACGTGAGAATGGCTTGCATTCTGCTCTTGGGACTTTCCTCCTGGGACTTATGAGTAATTCACATCCTGAGCGAAGTCAGGCCTCTCTAAGACAGTGGTCTTGACATTGAATAGGATGGTATGGGGTTTAGACACAATAAGTGAGTTCCTGTAGAGGAGAAGCAGGACAACCCAAAATAAAAGGGAAAACCTCAACATCTGCGCTTGGCCTCCCTCTGTCATCTTCAACATTTACAGATGCCAAAAGAGAGAACAGACAGGCTTCAGGCAGCCTATAAAGAACCAAATAGACCTGAGCAGAGGCAGCCTTCCCAGGAGCTGGGCCTCTAAGCGGTGGGACTTAGTGGTCCCTGTTCATTACCTGAGTGCAGACCGGGAAACTTCCACCAAGGCTGCCCAGGAAGGGGGCTCAGGCAAAGTACTCCTGACTATGATGTGTGATCTTGGTTTCTCTTTTAGCAGAAAAACTTGATGGGGTGCTTTGGCCCTATTACTAACAGTTCTGTGACTGGTTATAGGGAACCAGACATTTGGTGAGAATTTAGATCCCATTTCACCGCCTTGACAAACTTCCAGAATCTCTCTCTCTGCATCGAACACAGGCCTAGTTGCCCTCACCTCACTTCACCGGCTGCCTCTGTCTTGAAATCAGTCTTCGTGCTCTCAGACAGGTTTTCAGTGAGGGTACGTCTGCACATGGGTTCCTCCAGACTCCACAGCCTCTTTTCAGAAGGGAGGGCTGCCCTTTCAGCCTCACAGATTTATCAAGAAGGTACATTTAACTGTACCTGCTGGCCTTACAAGGGAGACTTTCCTACTGGGAGTCTTGGATTTTATTACCAAAACATGATGATTCACTTCAGGGAATACAAAGGTCAAAAGCCAGAACTATGTTGCCATCATATTAAAGGAGTGCTTTTCAACCTTTTTAATCTCACAGTACACTTGAACCTATAGTTAAACTTTCTGCAGCCCACTTAAATTATGCTGACTGAATAAAAAGGAGGAAAAAGAAGAATATATTTACTGTACTTTGAACTTCTTTGGAAAATAATTTAATTAATGATCTTTAAAAATTTTTTGTGGCACACCTAAGATCCTCTCAAAACACACCAGTGTGCTGGGGCATACTGGTTGAAAATCACTATATTAAAGCCTATAGGACTCTGAGCTGTTGTTGGAGGAAGGAGAAAGTGGAGCACGGGTGATCACTGAGAAATTCCTGTGTTCACCCAAGCCTTGTTGAACACTTACTGAATCCTAGGACTTACAGAGGTAACAAGCCTTAGTTCCACCCTCTGTCTGGAAAAGACAGACACATGATATGTGGCTGGGTGGGTAAGGCTAGTGGACAGGTACACCTCCAGGGGACACCAGGCACACAATATGTGATAATGACTTTTGGCCCCCCCCCCCCCCGGGATTATGCAATGCTGTAGCCTATTCCTGGAGTTAAAGACCCTGGCCTAGGCTTAAGAGATGACCTGGAGTAATGCAGGCAGAGAAGGTAGTAAAAGTGAGACAAGGGATTTCTAAGTGAAAGGACCAGCAATTGAAAGAATAAGAAGGCTTGGCACCTGTAGCACGGTGGTTACGGTGCCGGCTATATGCACCGAGGGTGGCAGATTTGAACCCAGCCCAAGCCAGCTAAACAACAATGACAACTGCAAGAAAAAAATAGCTGGATTTTGTAGTGGGCCCCTGTAGTTCCAGCTACTTGGGATGCTGAGGCAAGAGAATTACTTAAGCCCAGGACTTGAGGTTGCTGTGAGCTGTGACGCTATAGCACTCTACAGAGGGTGACATAATGAGACTCTGTCAAAAAAAAAAAAAAAAAAGAAGAAGAGTGGTGCCTGTGGCTCAAAGGAGTAGGGTGCTGGGCCCCATATGCCAGAGATGGCAGGTTTAAACCCAGCCCTGGTCAAAAACTGCAAAGGAAGGAAGAGAGAGAAATGTGAAAGGACATTCATCCCCCAGGCTGTGGACTGGTGTGGCAGCCAACCCTTGGGCCTCCTGTGAAGATATCCTTTGTGCAAATGCAAGGTAGAGGATAAAGGTCTGATCCAAGACATTGGGAATTTTCACCCTAAAATAGTTTCAGGACTGGACTTCTTCCCACAATTGCTCAGCCAAGAGAACTGGTCTCACTTTTTACCCTGTTTGAGAAATGCAAAGAACTTTCCCAACCAGAGGCAGAATTGCAAAGTGGTTAAGAATATGGGAGCCTGGGCTCAGCATCTGTAGCACAGTGGTTACGGCACCCGCCCACCACATACACCAAAGTTGGTGGGTTCGAACCTGGCCTGGGCCAGCTACCCAACAATTACAACTGCAGCAAAAAATAGCCAGGTGTGGTGGGTGCCTATAGTCCCAGCTACTTGGGAGGCTGAGGCAAGAGAATTGCTTGAGCCCAAGAGTTTGAGGTTGTGGTGAGCTGTGACACCACGGCACTCTACCGAGGGCAACATAATGAGACTCTGTCTCAAAAAAAAGAATATGGGAGCCTGAGCACCATCTTAACCAAGGGTCCTCAAACGTTTTAAACAGGGGGCCAGTTCACCGTCCCTCAGACTGTTGGAGGGCCGGACTGCGGGCCCCAGGATGAGTCGGCTGCTAAGCTCACAATTTTGTGGGCTGACTAGATTTAGCTGGAAGATACTTTGCTCTGTATGGCATTAACTTAGACTACTCACTCGACAGCAACACCTGGGCTGGGCTGGACTGGAACGTCTAAGAAAGCTTTATTCATGTGTATGGTGCCTTGGAGCTCGCTCCCTCCCTCTCTCTCTCTCTCTCTCTCTCTCTCCATGTGACTAGCTTGGGCTTCCTCACAGCATGGTGGTTTCAGAGTAGACAGATTTTTTACACAGCAACTAGCTTCCAAGAGGGAGAAATTATAAGCTGCCCATCCTCTTAAGGGGGCCCAGCTAGCTGGACCAGAAAATTGTTAAGCCATCCTAGGATTTAGGACAAATCCTTTTCCCTAGGCCAAGAAGAGCTAGTTGGGCAGTGACCCAGGGAAGAATCCAAGGGATTCTCCAAAGAGGCTTCCCCAACTTCTAGGTTAAAGGGCCTAGAAGTTCAACAGCCCAGAATAAGCTCTGCTCTCTCCTGCCACTTCCCCATCTCAGCTTCCTTTGCCCCTCGCCTTTTTTTTTTGACTAGAATAAAATCTTTATTGGCTTTACATGAAACTAAATAAACTGTACTTCACCATGTATTTGACAGCCTTACAGTTCCTTGTGTTTTTCTTTTTTTTTTCAGTTTTTGACTGGGGCTGGGTTTGAACCCGCCGTCTCCAGCATATGGGTCTGGCACCTTTGTGTTTTTCTTTATATACATTTTAAAAATTGCCTTTTTTTTTTTTTACTGCAGTCAACAAACATCCCTAGTTTACAACTATTACAATTAGTCTCGGAACTCATCTGATTGCATTTGATGTTCGATTTTTCTCAGACTGCTTTGTGGAATCTTCCAGTAATGATGCTTACAGTACCTTTTACCTGTCTATCAGTTCTTCTGGTCTCTAGTCAGGCCCAGGGAGAGAAGATGGAAGGAGACCAAGACAAAACAGTTTCATATGTGTCTATGTAATGCACACATTCGAGACCTAAATACGAGACACAGGGGTCGCCTCTGCAACAGACTAAGTTTGATCATCGTTAAGTTAGCTCACCTCTCTTGACCCTTGATTTCTTTCATCTCTAAGACGGATTCGTCATTCTGGTTCCTTATTAGCGTCAATGTTCTATGACTTGGTTCTAATTTAATAGATGCACAAACTGAAACGCTCACTAATTGTACATTTTGCTGGAGGCTGATCAGT